TCTCCGTTTCAATATGAGACTATTTGAGTCGCCACTAAATGGTAACATAATGTAAATTCTCTTTCTGGGTGATAAAAGCGTCATAGGTCTAATCGTATTGCAACCCTTTCAAGGTTTATACACTTCGATGAATAACCGTTATTCACTAATGTTTCAGTTAAGAGCTTCGTCTCTACTTCAATAGTATCGTTAGTACAAATATGATTGATTCCATTAAGTAAATCCCTTATTAATCCACGTTTGTAATGAATTGGGCAATGACCATGGAAATTAAAATATTGCCCTATCCATATTGGCTTTCTATATACAGAACGTTTGATGGAACCATAATCTCTCCTACTAATCAGTATGTCTAGAAAAGAAAGTTGGTTATTCTTCTCTTCTTCGTATTTAAGGGAAATATGCTTTTGAATTATTTCAACAGGCGCTTCACATCTTCACGTTTACCCTCCATGATTATGGTCTCATCAACGTACCGTTTATACAGACACATCTTTCGAATTGAGTCTTCAATTAGATCTTGAACATATCCCATGAACACATCAGATAGCAACGGTTCTAAAAGGCTACCCAGAGCTACGCCATCGATTTGTCGAAAGTGCTCACCCTTAAAAATGGATTTCACATTGTCAGTACACAATAATAACAAATCTTTAGGAGCTTTAACAGGAAATGGTAATGCAAGGTTATTCAATGAAATATAGTCACAAAATATCAATAGTTTTCCCAAGAGGTACATTTGTAAATAAAGTATTTACATCAAAGGAGCACATTGTGTTTGTCTTTATATTCATATCCATTAAGTACTTAATTAATCCAAATGATTCAATCAAGGAATACCTACAAAATTGATTTCGGCCATTTTACAAGGTTGTGTGTAGGTGACTGACACACTGATAGGATTGGACGTAAGGGGGTATTAGGCTTATGAATTTTTGGTAATCCATATAAATTCAGATACACAGAACCTACCCTGGTAATACTGATTTATTATCCAGAGTGGTTATAATAATGTTTTATATACTTTATTTTTCTTTGTTATGGTTTATCATTAATCTGTCTAGTCAACCTCTTATTTCTCGTATAAAAATGTCTTAACAAGTATATGTGTGATCAGATTGTACGAAATGTATTGCTCAAATATATTACATAATTCTGATAACCTTCGTCTTATTGCATTATCGTGATAACATATAGTTACCTAAAATGTCAAGATCGATTCTCATCACTGTTAAATTCACGTTTACAAAATGTACAAACGATGGATTTCTGAAGAGACTAGTGATCAAATACCAAATGATTTTGTTTGAGTGGTTATATTTCATAAAGATACAGCAAGTCAAAACACAAGGTTAATTTGTACATTCTTTTACTAACTCGGTGAACAAGTGACTATGCATTAAAGTTATTTATTGATAGGATGACATGTGAGTAGTTTAATACACGTAATTCCCTTTATCATCTTGAACAAAGCAAGAACTAAGATTTGAGCAGAATATCATGAATTCATTTTATTTCATTTGATCCTTGTCAGCTGTTTACAACCGGTGATATTTAAAAATCATAATAAAAAATGGGTTTAAATTAATTACATGAAAGAGTTTAGTTGGAAGTTACTTTGAAGGTATATCAGTATAGTATACTTATTTACGCCTGTCATCCCTCGTGGAGGAGCATAGGCCATCCATCAGCATTCTCGACCCAAAGCTATCATGGGCAATCCTTTCCAGTTACTATCCGTTCTTTTCATGTTTTCTTCCAATTCTCAACACGGTGTGTTCTTCGGCCCTTCTCTTTTCCGTTTCCATTCAACATTCCAAGTTGGCGCTTGCTTCGTGATGCAGTTTGATGATTTACATAATGTATGTCCTATCCACTTCCAGTGTCTTTTCCTAACTTTTTCTTCAACTGGAAGCTGGTTTGTTCTCTTCCACAGTAGGTTGTTACTGATGGTATTGCATAACCACTTGTTTTTAGCTCTTTGATATTTTATTACTATGGATGTTGTAGTATGTTCTGTTAAATACGGTATATATTGTATATATATATTATTCAGTTGATTAAATTTATTTATACTGATATACCTTCAAAGTAACTTCCAACTAAACTCTTTCATGTAATTAATTTAAACCCATTATTTTATTATGATTTTTAAATATCACAGGTTGTAAACAGCTGATGAGGACCAAATGAATTGTAAGCAGTTGTCATTTTAGTTTTGAATAAAAGCACATTGAAATTAGTCAACCGGAATTCATTAGATTTAAACATTTTTGACGCGGGTAAAACAACTTCCATAAATAGATGTTTTGAAGTGAAATAACAAATTCCTTTTATAGAAAATCTTTTTTTGTGTATTAGATAAAAATCATCTCAGTTTGTTTGAACCCTGTCTTGATTTAATCAGTAGGATTGATTAAATATTGAAATACCCTCTCCCTATATTAGAAAAAAGCAACAACTCACAATGTGTAAGTATTTGTTAAGGAGGCGTTTTTTGTTGTTGTGTGATTTGATTAGATTTAGTTTACAATTGTTAAAATCAATGAATAGATTACTAATCAATAGATGGGTGAAATATTATTGATTTGACCGATTAATGATTACTCATGAGACTGAATAATTGATTTATAGGCTCCTGAATAATTAAAAATCAAAGGCAAGATCATTAACTAGATGAGTAATTTTTTTCATGTCATCAAAATAACATATTTACAAAATATGAACATAAAATAAATGGGATAAAATAGCATAGGGGATTAAAATTAATCAGCTTGTTAGTCATTCATTGTTCAATCAATAAAAAGAAACTGACTGTTTGACTTAATCTTTAAGCATCGTATCAGTATTATTCTATCACTTTTTGTTCTCATTGATTTTATCGAAATGTTGACACTAAATACCATTTTTATACACCCCTTCATCCATCGCGCAATCTATAATTGAATCGAGACAAAAATTTCATTAATCAGAACAAAATTTTCCTAAAAAAAATAAGGTAAAGTCCCAAAGGATAAAATAATAATAATAATCAAGTAAGACACTTTTTTCTTCTCGATTTACAATAAAATTTAATTTCTGATAATAATCATCTGCTCACTAGTGACTGACTTCAAGAGGCATTTCCTCGAGTTCTTGTGAGAAGCCGTTATCAGTGGAGTTCAACCAGGTCAGTTGTGAGATATCAACTCACTGAAGATATTGGTGTACGGTGGCGCAATTTCGTGGATTGGTTGAAGTTAGACATTAACACCGTTGGATGCCGGCCGTCTCAAAGGTCTAATGGTTAAGCGCTCGCGCGCGAGACTGATAGGTTCTGGGTTCGAATCTCGCGTGTGTGGGGGGTCGTGGGTGCCCACTGATGAGGAGTACCATACTAGGATGAAACGGCCGTCCAGTACATCCAGGTTTTCCATGGTGTTCCAGCTTCAATTCACTCATGATTTCAACTATCGAAATAAAATTTAAATCACTTATTATTAAATTAATTATCTTGTAGGTTCAGTCGAACTTTATTTTTGAAATTGTTCAGTAGACTTTAAATTTTTACAAATTGTAAATCCGTTACTTTTCTGCCGTTTTGTTGTTGTTGTTGTTGCTAAGTTAGTGAACTGAATAATACATAGTGTAAAGAAATGTTAGAATTCTCAGCACAAGGTACTTCAACAAGTTTCGTTTACGAAAAAAAAAACAAAAAAGAAAGGAAAAAGGTTAAAAGAATCTGAAAAACTGTACAACCTTCCAAATTAGAGACTAGGTTAACTCTAACAACCTGTTCGTCACAGAGTATATTTGCTAGGTATTAAAGAACTTTTATACTTTTACGTGCATGGATTTTAATGTAAATACATCTCGTTCTATCAGAAGATATACAAGGGGAAAGATATGAGTGGTTAGTATCTGATAAGATAACACCTGCCAGGAGTTTGCATAACTTTAGATGTCTATCTACAACCATATTAATTATGACCTCAAAAGATTTACCGCATACTTTGCTAACTGACTGCAGCACTCTCCGCAATACAGCAAAGTCCTTTCTCAAAAAACCGGGAAAGAACATTGGGAAACAGTAAAGAATAATAGGTAATGCGCAGGAATTGACAAATTGTAAGAGTAAATGACGAGTAACAGTAAAATGTGAGAAGACCAAGAGAGATCAGAGGAAAAGATAACACCACGCTAATTAACCTTCGACAATGTGTTTATCAAAGAGCCTCCAATGGCACAAGCTTTATAGGATCCCAAAGTGGTGGTTGGATGCCGTTCATGTCTCATGTTATAATTAACAACTTGACATTTATTTAAATATTGAATGGATGATTATTAGGAATGTCTCGAATTATCTAATTTTTGTTGTTGTTGTGAATAAATGATTATGCTTGCTTTTAGTTGACTGTTTTCACCACACTGTTTGAGATTATTCTTGTTGCCAATATAAATAGTTGTCCCATAACAATTTTAATTTTTGTCGAAAGTAATAAAAACTATCGTAAAAGTTCAATTTTCTCTTTCTTTCTTATTCAGTTGTGAATTATTCACATTGAAGTGTTGTTGTGTATTAATTGTTCGGTCTATCTAGTTTGTATAGATTCTGTTTGTATTAGATAAACCTCCAAATCAATTATAATTCTGAAATTATTATACCATAAGCCGCCTTAAAACATAATACTTATCATATTGTTTAAGCCTTTAGTACTGTTTGAAGTCTATCAATTATATCTGACATATAATTATAACATTAAGTGACTTTATATCATAATGCACGTAATTAAGTAGTATTGAATAATTGGAGAAAAAAATCGATATATGACTTTACTTTCAACTAATTCATTAAATGGCAAGACAAATTTGACATATTTGGGTAACTTTAAATGTATACAAATGTATAGTATAATAGTATATTTTAATATAGGATAGTGATATTTCGGTGATACTACGATTAATGGATGACATTTTAGCTATTTTACATCCAATTCAGAGAACAAAACTCCATCAAAAACAAAACACAAACAAGTTATAGTATTCATATTATTGCTGAGAATCCCATTTACAAAGAAACCTATTTCAAAAATTTTACCATTTAAATAATACAACGTTATGAATGCCATGATCAAAAAAACAAAACAGCGAACAAATAAACAAACACATACATATATATATATTTCCATTCGATATATTAAAGATAATGAGGAAAGTGTTTTAAAAGAACATATTTTTTGTGCTTAATGAAGGACGAATAGGAGAAGAAGGTAAATAAAACAAAACAATTAAAAAACCCTGTTGATACATTGAATATTGAAATATTTAAACGGTTGTTTGTTGGTTTGTTCTTTTTCTTTTACCTTAAATAACTTAATTTAATGAATATGATTTAACATTAGATTAAAATGATGGAAAACAATAGTGAATATGTTCACAGAGAAAAACTATAATAACAGAGTAATCATAATCATAATAGTACTTATTATTATTATTATTATTGTTATACAAAACTGCCCGATTTCAAGGAATTCGCCTTGAAAGAATCCTCTGGAATATTTTGTTGATTTATATTATTTAACATCTTATTTATTTGTTCTGTACTTTTCACAATATTTATTTGATTTTGATCATTTGATATATTTATCATAACATGTTGTTTTGTACAATTTTTTAATGAATTTGATAATTTCTTACTATTATTTATTGTTGATGGTATACGACAATATTGTCCTGGTGAAGTACAATAATTCAATGAAGATGATGATGAAGAAGAATAGGTTACAGGAGTTTGAGTAAGAAGAAGAGATTGATTATGTAATTCATTTGATGTATTCATTAATGGCTCATGATGTTGTTGATGATGATGATAATGATGACGATGAAGATAAATATCATCATTATGCGGAAATGAAACTTTTGGTACAGTCATATTGGATCTATGAAAGTCTATATTATTTGTTAAAAAATGACAATTTGCCGGCATCAAATGTTTAACATAATGACTATGATTATCTGGAAGATTTAATGTCATATAATCTGATATTGGTAGAATACCGTCTGTACAAACAGTATAAATACGTGGATAACGATTACTGTTAGGTTCATTATTATTAATATTATTACTATTACCATCACTAGTATTATGTAATTCTAGTTGTGATTCATCTTGTGAAATATTTGTTTGTAAAAGTTGATTATGTTTGGTAGTAATTGTATTACCAACAGTATTAATTGTATCATTAGGTGAAATTTCACAAGTATCATGTTTACACATTGTATCCATTTCAACAGAATTCATTACAGGTACAAATGTGCTTATTTGTGGATAGATACACTGATGATTCATAGTTTTGTTAGCATAATTAAGCTTTTTATCATTACTAATCTGTTTTTGATTTGGATTGGCTGGATTAAATTCACTATGAACACTTTCCCAATCATTAGAAAATGGTATATCCATTGTCATACCGAGTACATTATATGATTTATCTGTAAAATATAAACACTATAAATGATTAGTAGACAATTCCTAGAAGGATAATATATAATTATAGTAACTGATAGCCCTATGTTATTATACAATTCAAGTCATTAGCTTTTCGAACTAAAGGATTCGACATAATTCTGTTGACTAACTCTATATGAGACTGTTAACATAGTCCAGAATAAATGAAGACAACAAAATGAATTATAAACAAGATCATCAGTATGAATGAATATAACAATTATGGAATAACTAAAAATTTTCACTTCTGTACAAAGTGACCGCTGATAATTTTTTTATTCAGAATAAAACAACCAAACCTTATCCATTAATCAATTTAGTTCAAAGATTACAACACTACCAAAAACATTCACCTGAGATACAAGTCTCTATCATTTTAAAGGTTCTGTTTTTACTTAAATTATTATACTATGGTGTATGCTATATATGTCGGCAGACATAAGCAGTATATAACAGCAAACAAAAGTGGAACGCCTGCCAACAGAAACATTGAGGAGATTAAATCAAATAAAACAGAAATGTAAATAGATAGCAATTTCAATAATAACAGAAATGAAAGAACAATGAAGTTTCTAAGAGACAACTGATAGAAAATGTTTTATTTTATGAAGAAAACTCTGTGATTTTGCATCAAATAATAAATTGATCTTCCTCATCCGAGTATTCGTGCACTACAGTACTCAGTATTTATGTAAATTAGAAAGATCATTTTGAAGACAAACTAACGTTACAAAGGTTACACTCACTTTTATCTTGATTTAATGCATATGATTTTGAAGAGTTCACGGTTTTAATACTTTTCGGCATTGTTTCATTATTCTAAAAAATCAATAATGTACAGTATATATATATTCAAGTTAAAAGTTATCGTCTTTTTTCTTAGATTTTATCTTAGATAATAATGTTTATTATCAATCAAAAGATATATTGTTTGGTAGAAAGAGTTATAAACTATTAACTATACAAATAGTATAATCAGTGTTTAATCATCATTTCGATAGAGTTTTATTCTCTGAGCTGTATAGTTTGGTCGTGGAGCTTACATCATTCTTCGAAACGAAATCATCAGCACAAACTTCTGGTAGAAGTGAAGTGTTCGAATTTCACTACATGTGGTTCATAGCTTATCTTGTAGACCTCGATGTTGATTAGTTTTTGTTGACCTTAAACCATACCATCTAGCTCAGAGAACAAAACTCCATCAAAATCATTCACCTAAGCTATAAATCTTCTCCACCATCTCAAAATTATCATTTTGCTTTCTATCAAAACATTAACAATTGTTCAATGTATGGAAATTATTGGTCGATTGAAAGAATTATTGTAAACTTTGAACATTCATTATCTGCTGTCCTATAATGTTTACTAACCAACAATAATGACTTTAACTCTTAACACATTGACAGCATAAATATTTAACGCCATACCATATTTTTAGATTATTAAATGCTTTCATCATGAGATCTAAATATCCTCCCATTGACCATTAGTTGGGTGGTTATCAATGAGGACTGTTGAAAAGTTCGATTTTTAGTGTTTATCTAGCTAAAGTCAAGAAGTTGTGTAAACTGGTCTGCAAACTTGTCATTTTCTACAAATTTCCCCTTTTTTTTAATGATAATGACGATGTTCATAAGAAGCTATTGAATATATTCGCGGAATATCTGATTTAAAAACGACAACAAGGCTAGATTGAATTACAAATACTATCTTTTCCTAGTAAAGACATAATAATAATGGCTTTTGGCATAAAAACATTCGAACTCTAAGAGTCTAACCGGAGGTTATCCAAGACAAAGTCAACAATTCTAACCGTTACATTATCTAATACTAACAATATCTAGTCAATGTAAATTAATTAAATACCCACCCTCCGAAAAAAAAGACGTTGAGATCTATTTAAACTTTTAAAAAAATTATACCCAATAAAACAACTGAACATTTAACTTTGAAATATATAGTATTTTAATTCACTTGATATTGTTTCGCTTGTATCTTCCCCATTGAGGTTTAAGACTGCAATTGATCAGTCTGTTATTGGCATATGTGCATACTGTGCGTATGCCTCGATATTACCTTAATTCACAAGCTATTTGTAAGCAATGATGGATAGTGACTAGCAGTGGAATCTAGGACGCTTGCACAAGCAAGTGGCTATTAGGGCTCAGTAGCTGAGTGGATAACGCGATGGCGTTTGAAGCGAATGGTACTGGATTCTAGTTCCAGAGTGAACATCAACTCTGTGAGATACAGGTACATCCAGCTGACAAGTCCTAAATAGAACGAAACGCGCGTCAAACTGGATTCCACTGCTAGCCACTATCTACCATAGACAGTATTTTACTTTGAAAAAAAGAAACCGCGCCTAGTTTAACAGTTTAAAAATGTTGCCATCATTTTTTTAAAAATCTCAATATTTTAAAACTTCAATAAAACAATCTATTCACAATTTGATACAATTTTAAATGTATCATTTAAATTGAAAAAAATCATTTATCTGTAAAATGATAAGATTGAATTTAACTGATAAATTATAAAATTTATCCTACTTAAATTGTTTATTAGTGTGAAGGTGTAATATGAATGAAAAGCTCATTTAGTTAGTCAATTTAATTTGTTATTCACAGTTGAATAAACAATAGATATTCATTTTATTATAATTTTACTAAGAATAAATATGTGAGACAATTAATACTGTGTAAATTATTGAATTTATAATTTCATAATCTTTCTATGGAGGCTTCTTTGACACTACGATGTGCTTCAGAAGATATTCAATATTATACAGAATTCCTATGATGGATTAAACTGCAAAATTGTGCATAGAGGATAGTTGACAAACTTGTTCGAAGTAAAGATCGGTGTTAGGCAAGGTTGCTTACTCTCACTCTTCTTCTTTCTCCTGGTGATCAACTGAATCATGAAGACGTCAACATCTGAAGGGAAGCATGGGATACAGTGGACATCTAGGATGCAGTTAGATGATCTCGACTTCGCAGATGATCTGGCTCTTCTATTGCACATGCAACAACAAATGCAGGAGAAGCCGACCAGTATAGCAGCAGCCTTTTGACGAAATGGATCGATAAATAAATTAGAATAATAATAATTTGATTGGTATGTTTAATGTTTTATATAGAAAAAATTGGACGTGGAGCGTTTTGTTCTAATTCGGACTCGTCAGCTGGATGTACCTGTATCTCAGAGTTGATGTTCACTATGAGACTCGAGCCCATTACCTTTCACTTCAAATCCCCACGCGTTATTCACTTAGCTACCGAGTTCACATAGCTACTCACTTGTATCCTTTATGCAAACCAATCTATATTAAACACAATAAACCTAAATTCGATTTTAATCAATCAACAACAGATTAATGAAAAGGATTTTCCTTTTTTGAGAAAAACACTTCTGATAAAGTGAATTTTGAATTCGTCTATTATTCTCATAAAATTATCTGTCTGTACTACTTGAAGTACTAATGTTAAATATACTCAGAGAATAACTTACCAACGGACGATTACGGTTGATGACCAATTGTATAACATTACAGAAATGTTTCCATTTACTGGTATGATCGTTGTTTTTCCCATCGATTTGATTGTTCATGTTATGATTGTTATTGTTGCTTTTATCTGAAAAATGCATAAGAAACAAGAAAACAAATTAAAAATTATTTAAATAAACTTGTATCAAATGGAAGATTTCATTGATTTATTTATTATCATTTATTTTAACACAGATATTGGTACAAGGAGGCACCAAATAAATATGCACCACACAAATCTCACTCGATATGTGTGGGGGCTGTGATACTGCACGGGTGCCAAAACCGAACCAGGTGGTTTTCTTAGGGGGCCATTCCCCGAGCCTTGGACATGAGGGTTTGATCCACAAGGCAGTGGAGAAACGTAAGGAGCTGCAGTCCCATGGAAGCCGGTGACCAACAATTGGTTCATACGCCATTTGTTCCCTCAGGATACTGGAGCCCATGTGCACCATTGGTTTGGGATCTGGTTAAAGCGCCGGATATTTGCTTTTCGTCCTCTCAATTGTTTAAACAACACCCGCGCCACTAGAAGGCAGTGAGTAGGACTCCCCTGACAGAGGCTATATACGCGTGGCCGTGTGAGAGCATTTCGAGAGGGAGAGCGGACTCTCCCCATTCTCGGCCATACCAGGGCATTGAAATTTATAAAGAATCACTGCGAAATTAATCATACATATAAATATATATTAAAACCACTCAGTATTTCATTGAAGATCCCAGATGCTAGAAAAAAACTGAAAATAGTCCGACTAATCAACATTCTTCAGAAATTTCAAAGAAAACTTTAGAAAATGATGAATAATGTTTTAGTTAATATGGCTGGGCAATTATCGATGTTCCTAATCAATTTTAACATGTTTTCCAAAATGTTTGAGTCTAAAACACACCACTACCCTTGTTTTCTGAACATACATTGAATTTCGAAGAAAGTTTATTCCATACTTTCTGTCTTCTGTTTTGGATTCAATAAAAGATGATTTCTAGGAAGTAGAAAGCTAATAAGAAGCAAGGGTCAAATCGTTTAATTACAATACTTATCAATACGTAAGTACAAATTAACTAAAGCATTGGTTACGACCAATGAGTATTTTGCTTAGATTTAGAAACCCCACACTAGTATAAACCACTGAGTACCCATACACAATCAAACTAACTAAACATGTAGTCATTTAGCTTATGGGTTCAAATACGATAGTTCCAGTTTCAGTCTCAGTTTGAAGCACACTGTAATCATTACTACAATGTTATTGTTGATGAATATTCCCAATTGGTTCTGACTTGGTTCACTTCATTGATTACGAGCGGCCTTTCAGTACAATTTTTAAAAAATCTCTTTGGTGGAAGTAAGTCAATAATAAGTACAGGACTGTGGTTAAGATATATACAAAATGCTATTTAATAAAAACAAGTTATTAAAAAAGAGAATTACAATGGAAAGTAGTATGTTACTGACCGATGAACAACGAGTAAAGTAATATGAACAAATTTTATCCAAATACAATTCAATACAAACAAGTTTCTAATTCTTATCACCCATAAGTTCGAAGATATACTCAGAAACATACATTTTAATTAGTCACTTTATTATTTTAGGCTAAGTTTATCCTCGATGTTTACAAATTTTCCGAAGTATGTTGTATCTAGGATTTCCAGTCATTTATCTGTTTATTAAATGAGTTGCTGATCGGAGATCCATGCTGCACGAGGAATAACAGGCGTAAGTAAGTGCTGCATATTAGACTGTAATCATCATTAAAGACTTCATTTTGACCCCGAATGTTCATCAAATCTGTTTTTCACCTGATATATTGAGATGTACTTAGTTGATATTTCAATACAAGCCAGATATGGATAACCACATGAACTGAAAATGAAAATAACACTCTAGTACATAGCACTGAGTCTCTAAATGAACCAAAAAATGGGCAAAATTCCTGAAGACAACATAAATATAACGTTACAGGTAAACTCATCTCTATCTGACAAACGAAATTTGAAATTTTATAGGGAACAAATACATTGAACAGCGTTACATTTTATTTAATATAACAAAAACAATTTTAAATCGACGTACAAGACGTTTTGGAAATAATCCGAATAACAAAAAGCTGTCGACAATGAACAATTTCCATGGAATTTATTAACCTGGTAATGTAACATCATAATGCACTTATGAATGATATCTAGTTGAATGTTGCTTAACATTTAAGATTCCTTCAACCACTATTAAACCATTGAGATTTAGACCAATAATCAGAATTTTTTAATTTGGCTGGAAAGCTGATATATGAGCAGGGTAAAGGAAAGCTAACAGTGACCAAATCAAATGTGGCGTGAGTTCATGAAGTCAGTAACCGTTGGATCGACTTGTGTAGGTAGATGCAAACTATCTGACTTGAGTGTGAGCAATTATCAATAACAGTGGTTAAAAATTTTATTTCACATGACTCAGGATCTTTCTCAGTGTCCCTAATGCATTCGGTCTTTCTCTCCCTAAATCTCATGAGAGCTAAACTAACTGTAAATGTTATTAAACAGCTGACACTTAATCACTGTTGAAGAATATTTCTAAATACAAAGATATTTTTGTTTGAATATTCACAGGTCAAATGGGAATAAGATGGGGATTTGTTAGAAAATTCATGCTGAAAAGTCTTCATTGTAATCAGTATCTTAGGAATTAAAATCTAATCATGAATATAAGTCCTCAGATGATCTAGTGTATTAATTGTTCATGATGAAAATTTTAAAGCTATCGAGTCCGCTTTAAGCTGAATTGCTTAACTATAAATTTTTCACTGTTATTTCATCGACAATAATATCATTGTAGTGAATGAGAACGCAAGTTGAGACAATCGAAATTACAGAATCCCTTAGTAAAATCTGAGGACCATACAGTAAATACTTCATTTGCAAAATGTCAATCGATTATCTTAGATTTCATTATTCTCTCAATTCTACACCAATCATTCGTTGTTCTCATTCACTTTTTTTTCTGATCTTTTTAACCTTCACTTTCGATTGATAATCTATACTACTTATATCCATCGACATCAGTAGCACCTACCATATAAAAAAGAAATCAACTATTTTTACTTAATAAAACCATTTTCTAAACTCATATCATGCACACACACAAAAAAAGAACTCACCACTTTTATATTGATATTGTTTCATAGTATTATTATGTAACTTATTACGATCAATATGAAGTCCATTTCTATTTAATCGAATCGTTTGTACACCATGTAAAGCATAAGTTATTAATAATAATAAACATACTAAAATAATAATTACTAATCCAATACCTAAACCAGTAATTAATTCAGTACTATTTTGATATGGATTAATGATTTCCATTGGTTCAGTATTTATAGAATTTTCATAAATTGGTATTAATCTTTCTAAATCATTATCATTTTGTTGATTATTTTGTAATTGAATTAATGATGGTGATTTGAATGATAATTTTTTATTCATTGATTGAGTATATTTCATTTTGGATGTAGATAATAAATTTGATTGATGATGATGATGATGATTTATTTGTTGTTTATCACTATCCAATAATTTCAATTGTGGATTATTATGATTATGATTATTATTGTTACTATGGATTTTGATATTCCTATTTGAATAAAATCCCATATATTGATTTTTATGATATTCATTCAAATCAATTGATGAATTAATTAATTGATCAATAGTATCTAAGTTAGTTTTTATGTTTTTATGATTGATATTTAATAATGAATTATCATGATAATGATTATTATTGTTCATTATTTGTTTATTTTGTTTTTCATTTATAAAATCAATATATAATAAGGCATAATTTCGTCTTGATGGTATCCCACAATCTTCAGCTAAAATAATTAAACTTTTAGGTATTTTTTGTAAATTTTCATTAGTAATTAATTGATTAATTCGTATCTCACCAGAAATTTGATCAATAATAAAATAATTATTTAATGATTTATTATGATGATGATTAATATTATTGAATGATTGATATGAATTATATGATAATTGCCAATAACCTTCATATGCTTCAAGTTTATATATAATTTTACCATTATCACCATCATCTAAATCAATTGCATGAACTGTATAAATTAATGTACCAGGATTTGTATTATCTATATTGTATATATTAATTCGTTCAGTTGGTATATTTAATGTTTTCAAATTGGGATCATTTAAAGTTGATCGAGTATGATCATGATCAGCATGAATATGACTTATATTCAGATTTAAATTATGATTATTATTATATGATGGTTTTAAAAATTTTGGTGAATTATCATTCACATCTCTTAAACTAATTGTAATGGTTACTGTTGAAGATAAAGTAGGATTTTTACCTAAATCACTAATTATAATTGGTATTTCATAAAAAGGTGTTTTTTCACGATCTAAATAATAATAATAATTATTATTATCAATATTTCTATCATTGTACATTCTAATGGATTGAACAAATAGATTACCATCTGAACGTAAAAACCATTTTGGACTATTAATATTATATTGATTTTCATAGCCTAATTTAAAGATGATTTTTCCATTTTCTCCAATATCATAATCTTCACCATTCAAACGTCCAATAAATATGTGGTGATTTGTTAAATGATATTGTCTTATATCTAAAGTTGTACTACTACTACTACTACTACTACTACTACTACTACTACTTCGATTATGGTTACCACCATTGATCAAATGTTCCATAGTTGTATCTTCTTCATCTATCCAAAAAGTTGTATTCCCTGTTAATTTTGGTATATTATCATTAACATCTTCTATTTCCACATGTATCCATGTATGTGATGTTCTACTTGGAAATTCATCATCATATGCTATAACAGGTATTATCATTGAATCTTTAACTTCTCTATCTAATGGTATATTCGTTGTTTTAATTCTACCAGATCTTGAATCAATTTTAAAATGTGCATAAATTGTGCTTAAATTTAAATTTGTATAATTTTGTATAAATTGATCAGTGATTTGAACAAATCGATAGCCTATATGACTTTCTTCATCTTTATCAATCGCATTTAATTTAATTAATTCAGTATTTTCAATGGAATTTTCTAAGATTTTCACTTCATAACGTAGGCGATCAAATTGTGGTCCATTGTCATTTTCATCTAAAATATTGATTTTTAATAATTTTGTTGAAGAAAGACGTTTTGTTGAAGTTGACGAAGGCTTATTATTGTTATTGGGTTGTAAAGAATAACTCAAGTAAGATTTTTTTTCAACATGATCATGGCATGTAAGATAAATAAAATAGAAATTTTTAACTTCTCTGTTTAAAATTGTCTTTGTCATAAGTATGTACTCAGTATCATGACGTCCTAATACACTGGACTGTTTGTGTTGAATATAACTGGATGATACTGTTGGTTCAATGTTGTTTGATATAGTGGCTGAATGAATTGAATCATCTTCAACATGATGTAATGCAAAATTTTGAAGACTTTTTAAGTAATCCGATTCAAATGGACTACCAGATTCCTGAGTTTTTCGACCAAAGTTATCTGCTTCACTTAAGTAACATTCCACTTCTCCTGAAGCTCCTGTATCTCGATCTCTAGCAGATACCTATTTTGTTGTTCAACAATATGCAAAATTCAGAAAAACACGTAACGTTACTGAATTAGATTTAAGTAGCTCAGAGGTAAATACATTGTGAAAACAACAGAATGACATTTGAAAGAATTCCGATGATATTGAGCTTTGATAAAAACCTGAAATCATATTTTTATTGTGTTCTAACTTGATATATATTCGGGATTACATTCGATGTAATGGAAATGCACTTTTCAATATTTTACTTTTCGATAATTTTAGAAGTTATAGACCGAAATTTAGAAGAAGTAATATCAGACTTTCGATAAGAAATCTCAAAAACGAAAAAAGTATTTAAATAAATCTTGTATTATTTGTTTAGATCTTCCCATAGATGTTTGGGACTTTAATTGACCAGCCTCTTATTGGGATATGTGCATCGTAAGTCGGATGCCTTAAATCACAAGCGTTATAAGCAAAGGTGGATGGTGACTAACAGTGGAATCCAGGACTCGCGTTTCGTCCTGTTTGGGACTGGTCAGCCGGATATGCCTGGAGCCTGGAGTCAATGTTTATTCTTGGACATAAGTCAGTGGCTATCGGGACTCGTTTGATAGGTGGATAACGGGGTGGCGTTTGAAGCGAATGATACTGGGTACGAGTCCCAGAGTGACCGTCAATTCTAGGATGCAGATACATCCAGCTGACGAGTCCTGGATTCCACTGATATTCACCATCCACCTTTGCTTATGAAGAAAGTATTTGTCTATTAGTTCATATGTCATTTCAATAACATCTTATTTCCAATGAAAATAAACATTTATTATGTGAAATTACTCCATTAAATGAACACTAGCACAAACTACTGGTCACTGGTATCTACTAATGCAAATTATGATGTTATTCCAGTGACTATTGAAACCGAAACCGAATTTAAAATGTTTACTTCCAAGAAATTCAGTTATTAATCTCGAATATTTATTAAAAATTTGTTCTGAAATAGTTTTATCAATTACAATGTTTATCTCACCATTAGTAGTGCTTTTAAGTCTTCTAAAATTGTTTAATGTACGAGTGAATGTAGCAAATCCGTTTATGATGTTATATACCGAAGAACTGGTCAAATAAACAGTCAACTAAACATATTAAGTTAATAACAGTGGAGAATAGATTTTATCATATAGACAATTGAATAATGAAAAAAATATCAATCGTTGACGCATAGGAAACTTTAAACTATTAACTTCTAATATCAATTTTCGAGATTCTGTTAATCTCAGACTTGATTTAATTCAGATTGTTACCGATTGTTTTCATCATTAAATGTAAATGCACTCTGCATGTTTGTTGATTTTTCAGCTCGATCATTATCTTATTCTTTACACTTTCAGATTCTTTAACATACCGGTCTTCACAATACCTCAACATACAAGGTACTTTCAAACTAAACCCAAACATGTCAAAGGTTGAACATTATAAATTGTTTAACTAATGAGCTTTTTTTGTGAAATAAATAATTCAATCAAAACAATGATGTATTCGCTGACCACTGATTTTAGTGTTCGTTTGTGTAATATTACATTATTGCAAGAATCAAATTAAATTTCACTATTATAAGTCATTGTTTCACGAAGTTCCATTTAGTGGTAAATTTAATCCAGTGTCCATTATGCTGTTGTTGTTTTTTTAACGATGAATAGTGAATAGCTAATTACAGAAGAAATAAACATTCGAGCAGTCCATGATTAACTTGGTGAATAACACTGGCTGAATAAAACATGAAAACAAACACTATTCATACACAAATAAAGTATCACTTTTCCATACCTTTGCGATAAAAGTACCAATTGGAGAATTTTCTCTTACAGCTAATATTTGAAAATGAGTAGGATTAAAACTGTCCATTGTTGAATGTCCAATTGTACGTTGATTATTATTATGATGTATATTAGTCGATTCAATACCACGTATAGTAATACTCGGAGCTTCATCATTGACATCTAATACTTGTATAGTAAGTGTTAGTGTGCTACTCAACTGTGGACGTCCAAAGTCAATTGCCACAATAGGTAATATATAATTACGTGGACCAGATTCATAATCTAATCGTTGTATCAATATTATCCAACCATCTTCTTTCCCTAAACGGAAATAATGTTTAACCCCGAGATCAGTTTCTTGTGCAATAAAATAGTGTACAGTAATTCTAGGATGTGTTGATTGATAAGATTGGTATGGATTATTAATCGTAGAGAAATCAATTGAATCGAAATCAATTGCTTGTACACGATAGATTCGACTCCCAACATTGATATCTTCAGGTAATCCAAGAATTAAATAATTGGAATCTGATAATTTAATATGATTGTTATCTTCGACCCGGTCTTGGTTTTGTTGTTCACCTACAATCAATTTGGAATCATATGAAAATGATTTAATTTGTACTTGTGGATGAAATCGATTAGAATGTCCAATAAATGTGTGATCAGTGTTCAATAGTTGTTGTCGAATAGTATTACCTTGTTGATTAGTAATATTAATACCGAAATTGAATTTTGGTGCATATTCATTCACTTCTTTAATATAAATGCTAATTGGTAATTGAGCTGTATTACGCAATTTAGACTGTTCGGATTGATCATAAGCTAAAAGGATTAATCGATACTCGGATTTACGTTCACGATCTAAAGTGAAACGACTTATAAGATGTAGGGATTTAATGTTTTTAGGTTTAGAATCATATGAGTTAGAAATTCGGGAATCTGTTGTATGGTTTAATAATTCGAAATATTCAGCATCCGGACCCTGAATTAAAAAAATAAAATACAATAAGTAAATAGTTAACAACTATAGAATCGTAATGGTTTAGGAAGAAAATGTGAGCACAGTCATGTGTAAAGTCATATCAATTGTCTAAAAGATAGTATTTTGAAATCATTGATATAATTATCAACAGGATGTATATTTATGGTCACGGGTGGACCCTTATTAGGGACCTAAAACTAGAACGAAAAGACGGTTCGGTGCCTAAAAATTCTCTAGATGATAACAATTTATGGTAAAAAAACTGTATTCATGAAATTCCGCCAAACAGTAAATTAAATCAACACTCTCCAATATCCAAGCTTTTTAATTATATTTCTCCACAGAAAGAGTGATGGATCAATGCTTGTGACGTTAAAATTTTGGTTGCTAATTAGTAGATTCAGACGTTTCCTCATGTATATTACATTGGATAACGCAATTACAGTGTGGCTCGAAGCCAAGTACATGAATCTGCATCAGAAAAAATAAGTTGAATAAATGAATGCAGATTTGTTTAGGTATTTCAGTGATTGTTATTTCTTGATTAATTTATCATATTTAATTACTAGATACAGTAGCACTAATATTAAGTTAATTTTTAAAAAATTATTTGTTATTAGCTAGGCATTGTCATTCCTCGTTTTCGTATTCATGATTGAAGGTAGTCAGTCTCTGTTGCTATATATGTGTCCTGATTAAATTGCCTCGATATTAAAAGTTTGAGTATATTTGGTATATGGGTAGCAGTGGAATCTAGGACACGGATTTCTTACTAATATGGGACTCATCAGATGGGATATAGATTCATCGAGCTAAGTTGTATGCTACTGTTGCTCAATGAATCTCATTTTAGAATTAAAAATAATTTTCTAAACAGTTCACAAAACTGTATATACGGACGACGTAGATTTGTTTCCTACAGGCCAAGCAGAGTTTTTAGCTGACTACTTCCAATTACTAAACAATTCATATTTCCATTACCTGAGTCAAAATCAATAACCCCAAATCCAGCCAATCCCATCGAAGATACCTATCTCTCTATCTTAGTATATTGGAAAAAAAACTAATTATGTTAACGAAGCAAACGATGAAATTCAAGTTTTATCTCTTGATAACATCAATACAGCTAATATAATTATCTATTCAAACAGAAGATAACGAAGAAAGGTAAAGAAAGAAAGAGAGAGAAAGTGAAACTAATTGAAGGTAACTTAAATTCAATTACAAGTAATGCTGATTTGCGTTAGGATTAAATATCTTCAAAGCATAGAGAATAAAACTATTTCCTACTTGTCATTTTTATTTTCATTTTCTTAGTTGAAAATCGCTCGATTATTATTATGATAAGAGAATGTTCAGTTATATTTGAAAGTGTAAACAAAAATTCTGATGATGATTATTGTAGATAAAGGCGGGAAAAAAATGTCTTTGAGATGGAAATTGTTATCAAGAAACAATATCAATATTTAACAAACGAAAACACAGTAACTTAAACTACAATGATATTAATGAATTTTGTTTTCTAATTATATAATACTGATAATATGTTCAATAGAGTTTTGTTATGAGTGTCATGCTTCTATCAAGCTTCTCCATTATCGCAAGTTAACCTAAAAGTAACTTACCCATTATGATATTTAATGATCTAGGTAGGTACTGTTTGTAATCTAGTAGTTTAAATGCATTCTGTCAACTTGATTTGAAATATTTTTAAGAAATTATATGAAAAATGTCACTTGTTTCAAGATAGAAAAGATTACTGTAAATTCAGATCTTATATTGTATTAGCACAAATTAACTGACATAATGAGTCTTACTATCTAACAAGTGACATGTTGACACAATGTTAGGTTGTTAGCGCGTAAATTCTACTTGATCTGCATTTCGAGCTAGTCGGTAATCATTAACAAGGTGTACATGTAATCTTGAGAGGACCAATTTTCCTATACGATTCGAACATGTATCACCTAGCTGCAGAATGTGAGACATGATTACTAAACTATTCGAACAGCGAGTGATTTGACATTACCGTACAAAATGAACTTTTACAGTTAATTATTTAAAAATCTTCAGGCTGTTTCAACAAACTCTCAAGATGCTTTACCAGAATATCGATATTACTAAGTAACTAACGTTGAGTTATATTAAATGTTTTTAGATTAATTGAATGTCTTAAGATAAGAATTTTCAGAATTATCAATGCATTTTAAACTATTCAAAATTCCATTTGTACTATGTAAGTTAGTCGTGTAATATTTTTTATAAATGTAACTCTCTTTTCCAATACATAATTTTACGTATAGATTTAAGCGATTAAGATTTGTATTAAGGTTAAAATATCCTTATGTTATTATTCATTTTGTTGTTGATTGTATCATTACTCACACTTTGATTTGTCCATTGAACAATAGTTGCTAAATCTTCTTATTTTACGCCTGTTACCCCTCATGGAGGAGCATAGGCCGCTAACCAGCATTCTCAATCCAACACTATCATGGGCAGTCCTTTCCAGTTTCTATTCATTCTTCTAATATCTGCTTCTAATTCTCGACACACTGTGTTCTTCGGCCTTTCTCTTTTCCGTTTCCATTCAAGATTCCAAGCTAGCGCTTTCTAGGTGTTGCAGTTTGATGATTTGCACAATGTGCGTCCTATCCACTTCCAGTGCCTTTTACTAATTTTTTCTTCAACTGGAAGCTGTTTTGTTCTCCTCCACAGTAGGCTGTTACTGACGGTATCCGGTTAAAGGACATTGAGTATCTAGTGTAGATAATTGTTTATAAATACTTGTACGATTTTGATGATGGTTTTGGTAGTTGTCGAAGTTTCATCTCCGTATAGTAGAACTGACTGTCTTGACGTTCGTATTGAAGATTGTGACTTTGATATTGGTTGAGAGTTGTTTTGAGTTCCATATTTTCTTCAATTGTAGGAATGCAGCCCTTGCTTAACCAATCATTGCCTCTATATCTGTACCAGATCCTCCTTGTTGATGAATAATGCTGTCCAGGCACGTGGAGGACTCCACCTGTTCCAGAGTTTCTCCACCAAGTGTGATTGAGTTGATGCTCTTCGTGTTGTATTCGCGGATCTTGCTTATTCCCTTGTGTATATTGAGACCTACCGATGCAGAGGCTGCTGCTATATTAGTTGTTTTCATCTGTATTTGTTCGTGTTTACAGGATAGAATGGCCAGGTCATCTGCCAAGTTCAAATCTTCTAACTGTTTCTGAGTTGTCCATTGTATTTCGTGCTTTCCCTCAAATGTTTTCATAATACAGTCAACCGCCAGAAGAAAAGAGAAAGGGGAGAGTAAACAGCCTAGTCTGACTCCGGTGATAATTGCTAAAACTATGAGTGAAACCAATTATATTTTAGTTTGCTCTAAAACACATCACTAAATAAGTGTACATACATACACACATATTGATAGATAGATAGATATAAATATGACAGGTACATTTTTATCATCATATAATTATCCATATCACAAACATACATCTAAAACAGAAGGGGAATACACATGTGCAACAGTAATTTGAAAATAATTGATTCCATTTTAATTAATAGAATACTGTAAATAAGTAAATTATAAAAGAGAAAAATGCAAAAAATGACTCATAATAACTTTATTATTAAATACAATCACTAAGCACATTACTGTGATTTTGTTTGGTTGCATTTGTTGTTGTTGTTGTTGTTTAATTACAGAATGTAAAACAAAAACAACAATCATTATATTCAAGCATTTTCAAATATTCACCACTACATGTGCGTTCTCTTCTTGTTATTGTTGTTGTTGTTGCTTTTAATGAATGATAACCATGGTATATACATTATCTCTGCCTATTCATAAAAATGAACAAGTAACTCAATGACTAGAAATACCTTTTATTGTAGTTGATTCAATTATAATTTGTTATTTTTGTTTTTTTTTTATAGCGATTGATTGATTTTTAATGTGTTTTTCTTTCTTTTTTGTTCTACTTAGATAACCAAAGATATCATTTACATACAGAACAACTAGTTATTTTTGAATGAAGGATGCTTAATGTAAAAATTCCCCTCTACCTCTTACTCATTCATATACTCTATTAAAAAACCCCAACTATACAAGTAACATTAATGCATAAAAAATGAATGAACGAATGAATGCATATACATAGTACAGAGGAGGGAGGGGGAAAGATAAAATCATTGATAAGTAAACTGTCATTGTTAATTAACATTTTCTTTCTTACTCATTTCAAATATTAATCCTCTTCAAACTCTCATTATCTTTATGATTATTATTACTCTAAATGTTTTAGAATGAATTCATGTAGAAAATGATAATTTTGTTCTTTCCCCCTCTCCCTCCCTCCCCCTCCCTCCCTCTCTCTCTCTCTCACTTTCTCACCATCTATTATTCCTCTTTGAAAATACTATACTTCCCCAACCCTCCTTATCTTACATTAAAACTCTTCATCCGAACACACAAACACACACTCTCTCTCTTGCTTTTATTTCTTTTAATTACTGTCTAAAAACTCGTTTTATTCACTTGTTTGCTTGTTTTTTTTTACAAAGAAAAGATTATCTCTCTATTTTTTTCAATGAGGACTTGAAATGAAATGAGAATTTAATAATTAATTATTCATTTTTATTCCGAAAAGAAAAAAATGCTTTAATTCTTTTCATTATAAATTTATAGAAACTATGCGGATGTACAGTTTATTATTATATTAGAATAGTAGTAATTTTGGAAATTCCTGTATTTATCACACATGAATGCATAAATTCATTTGGATAAAGCAAAAACACCGTAAAGAAAATTTACTTATCTAAGCGGTAGGATTACAAGTCATTGATTAAGATCAACTCCTGGACTATAGATTGTTTATTTATTTATTACTATGTCAACACATAAATATTGGTACAAGAGGGCACCAAATATATATGCGCCACACCATATTTGTGTGTGTGCGTGTGGGCTGTGATACTGCCCGGGTGCCCAGACC